ATCAAGTACTAACCACAGTGCCATTCACCACAACCATGGCCCTAGGTCCCATCAAGTACTAACCGATACTATTTGTAATGTCTACGGCCATTGAAATTAATCTGTAAGTATGGTTGCAGCACAAATAAATCGCAGAATGTCATAATTGATGGAATTTTGATGACGTTCGAGAATTTTGAGGTAAGGTGCATGATGTTTGACGTGATCAAGAATGCTGTCTTTTTGTAACATAAGCATTCTCAGAGCGTGATGTTCATTAAGCAATTTGTTTTTGAGGTATCTCTGCTCACAATTCAAGACTCGAAGCATTTGATTTTAATCAGAAAAAATCATTTTCTATATCTCAACTGTCATATTTGAATGTCATTTAGTTTGACATATGCTCTTTTTATAATCCTCAGTACAAAGAGAAAAGTCCCAGAGCTTTGCACTTCCGTGAAGAGGCTGATGAATGTTGAATGAAAAAGAGGGCAAATATCTGGGCTGATGTCAAAGGTCAAACAGCCCACAAGGCAGCAAAATGTTTCCTAAACATCATTGCAAAATCTTGGCACCAGCCCTGAGAAGTCGTAATTGGTATTTAGGACCAGGGTTTACAGAAACTTACTCGATGAAAATGTGATCGTTCAAGTTGTAAAAGAAAGATGGTTTGGGGTCCTTTCTAGCACTCTTCTCTTGCTCATGCTGCATATCATTTTTTTATGTTACTCACAGGTTTTTATTGTCAATATTTTTCACAGAATCGAATGACGTTGTAACTGCCGACTGTGGGACCTAATAATTTGTGAGACATAGATTTTAATTTCATGATTATGGTTTTAAAATATGCATTTGTCACAATTTTCAAATCTGTTCAAAAATTACAGGGGAAATGAGTACTTCCTGTCTAATTATCAGATGGCTGGCATTTTGCAGGTTGGTCATGTCCATAAAAAATGCTGACATTCAAGACTTTAATTAACTCTGATCAAGATGCAGGATAGGCACGGTCATTAGTATATCAGGTATCACTCATGACTCCTCTAAATTCATCAGTCATTGCAAATTAATTCAATACTGTTCTTTTCGGGAAATAAAATGGCTCATATTTTAAAGAACTTGGCATCCAAGAATTCTTTGGGTGTTTAGGCAAATAACCAATTCAGTGAGCAACATCCACTTAAAGCCAAGATGACATTTTAGCCAAATGTCTTATACCTAATCAATGGCTCAGTGAAGTTTGGCATCCCTAAATATGTTTGGGACTAAACTCTTTTGATGTCATGTAGCATCACACGGGCATCTAAATGTAAATCTTGATAGGAATGATTAAATTCCTTCCAAGTGACCAAGTTTACTTCAGTTTGTTTTTTTGTATTTTCAGTGGCTCTATAACTATGAATCTTAACCCAGTTCCGCTTACCCTGACATGGAAGGCAACTTGATGGAATGTCCTGAAAAATACAAACCAGAGATAAAAATTAAATTTCACAGTAATATCTTCTGAGCAATTAATCCTATTACAGTGTTGTCATGTTTTGATAAAGTGCAATTTCAGTCACATGCTGTCTCCCTCTTCCAATGAATGACACTGCTAAAGAATTCTTTAAAATGCTGACTACCAAACAATGAACCTAAACATGGAGATTTGTAAGTATTCAAAGCAATTCAGATTGTTAGCCCTGCTGGTGCTATAGTATTCAGTACCCTAGCCTAATGTCAAAAGATGGTATATTTATTCCACACCTTTGAACCTGCCATTTGGTGCAACTTCTTAAACAATTTGTCATTCTTTAATGTATCTATTCAAGAACTGACCTCTTTATCAAGAACTCTTGAAAGCATCTTGAACCTTGGCTAACAAGTTCAACTTTTCTTTGATCCTCAAGGGCAGGTCAAATTGAACCTTATGATTCCATTGTTGGACAACATCAAAAGCAAAGGATGGGTCACTTGGTGATAAGCTAAGAATGGCTTCTGCAGTGAAGAGTTGAACTGTCTGGGGAACTTCAATGAACAACAACAAGAAAACTGTTATCCAAAGAATAATGGAAAAAGCTTAAAATGCATAAAATACTAACAGGAAATTCCTCAGATGAATTTTATCCAAGCTAAGACACAAGCCAAAAGTCCTTTATCTGACTTCCTCAGTAACTTAATCCTGTTTATTTTATTCAGCACTCACCACTAGAAGGAGGCTGCTGCAAGACAGCTGCTAGCATCTTCAGCAGTTCAAACACAGACTGCTTATTCACTTGAAGTCCAATACTAGCCATACCGCCTGCCAATAATAAAAAAGCCACAAATCACTTTTCATTCAAAAATTTATCACTGAATATTCAAGAGTATGTCACTGAATCTATCAGAAGATATCACAAAATAATGATGAGAACTTGAATAACCTTTAAAGCTACAACACCTTGTGGTCAAGTGTCTCGTTGTGAATAAGATACAAGTGCAAAATTTCTTCTTGAATAGGTTTTTAAATTTCAATTGATATACTTTTTAGAGAGTCTGCTTTTTGGGCAATCACAACCACACTTCCATCCTTCAACTTAAGAATAATGAATTCCTGGTATGTTAACCGATGAATACATGTATGGGTTTTGGCAATTTCAACATAAAATGAGCTTCTGTAATGTTAGATTCACAAACTTTAAATCTCTCTCCAGAATGAAACTCTTCAAAACTTACAAATCACTTTCATGACAGCACAGGCAGAGGCATCAGAAGGAGACTGAACACAGCAGCTGGTTCGAATTGTGGTATGTTTAGACCGGTTCAATCCAGTTTTGGTAGCAGTTGCTATGGTAACAGCCTTTACATCCTGGCTCCAGTTCTTCAGGATTGGCCAGAGTTTCTCCCTAATGAGATGGTCATTAGTCCATTTCCAGCCTAGGTGATGTGCTAGCAACTCAAGAGCCTTCACAATTTCATAGGACTTTGAAGTAAGCCCTTGAATTGAAGTCCCTGAAAAGTGTATCAATAATTTACTTATACCTTTAATACTTAACAAGTAACTAAAATAATTAAAATGTTTACATTTTAATTCTATTAATGAATCAGCAACACTTTATTCATTATCAGTAACACTTTATTCAGTATTATTGACCTATTCTGACAATTTGTTGGATGAAACATACAAAGATATACTGACAATCTAGATAGTAACAAAAGGGCTTGCAGGACATTATGGGTAAAAGGATGGTGCAAAATTTCCTCGGACATAAGGATCAAATCCAGTTTTGTTGGATTTGCTTTGTTTATCACAAATTTATCATTTGATGAAGATCATTTCATTTAGATTAGATAGATATAAAGAAAGTAAATTTATGACCCACCTGTACTGCACAGCTTTGTGATGTTTGTATCTTGAATGGATGAAACCAGTTGATGGCATTGATTTACAGGAAAACTTCCATTTGGAATCTGCCATCCACACATCAGACTGAAGTACTGGATTATCTGACAGAAAAATTTGACAGACACTCTCTGCACATCTGACTGTATATCAAATTGTTTACACATTATAAATATAACATATGTTCTACTACATGAAATTTTCAAACCGTAAGAAAAAGAGCTTTAAAATGATAATTATGACTTTTTTCAAATGAAGCACTTTCAAGTAGTGGAGAAATCTAGAAAGTATAAACATTTAACAAGTACTGCACATTTTATCTTTATATGCCAAAAGGTATGCAGACTTTCTTCTAAACTACTGACACACAAATATTTACAGATACGCTTAATATCTGTAACAATTTTTAACAAAATACTGGTCAGCACAGAAATGTTCAGACAACTGAAAGGGTTGTAATTTCATTTATACAAACATAAAAATCATATGCTAGGGTGAGTGGGTTAAAGGGGCCATGTCCGCTTTTATAAATTATTCGAAAGACAATACCCAAGACAGACATCATCATGTTTGTTTTTCCTGTCAATTTGTGTACTCTTGGAGGGCAAAGGGTTCCGGAGTAACGTACACTCATAAAAGTAATGAAAACAGCAAATGGCGCTGAGACAGGTGTTTGATAGTTACCTCTTGTGCTTGGAGATTCTGAGGAGATGCAGCATGCAATAACCTGAGCATGGTTACGGTCTCAAGGGCATTCAGAATTGGTGATGATAAGTTCTGTCAAAATGTCAATTGAAGAATATGATACTTCATCACTCCTGAGATAATATAAACTAGGATACGGCAACCTCCTCTGCATACAACCAATGGTTACTAAAGTCAATCTCAGAAATATCGAATAGAGACTGAATACAAGAAAGGCTGTGATATTGAGCATTCCAAATATATACTTGGAGAGGTTTCAACAAGTAACAGTGAGGTTCACTATCTTGTCAATGGCATTAATAACCAGTGGTGAGCGCATGAAGTCTCTTTACAAACCTGTCTATTTCCTGTGTACACAGAATGTTACAGAGACCCACAAAAACCTCATAACTACATGGTCTAAGACTTGTAATTATTGTAAGACTTGGCAGGCTCTTGTCAAGGAAAATTTATAAAGCAAAGAGTAAAGCAGAAGTCTATTTTTCACGGTTTGACAATAAGAGTGACTAATCTACAGCTGACATCTCAGTTAAAATACGCAATACCGGTACCTCTTTTTTAAGAACTGTTGGCCATGTAACTGCTACATGAAGGAGCAATTCCTCAGCATTATGCCAGTCTTCCCGCACTAAATCATAGCAGAATATCCGAACTCGATCCATCAAACCTGAAAAACATGTACCCATACAGTAGAAATCACCAGACACATTAATTAACACCTACAAATCAGAAAAGTTGGAAAGACAATTTACAAATGTGTAAGATGATGTACATATACTTAATACTAATCAAATCATTAATTTGGGGGATTACTCAGCTTGAATGATTAGCAATAAATAACTTTTAGTAGATCAGCAGGTAAACGACTTGCCTTATTCAATTAATTAGAAAAAAAGAAGAAATTGACATGCACAGCAACTTGGTTACTGAATCAAAAGTCACACAAAAGCACTCTCCACCAAGCAAAAATGACCCATGAATAGACAACATTTTAAACAACCGATGACAAAGTGAACACCTGTTATGTCAAAATGATGTGCATGGGTGGTTTCTGTATAGGGATGCCATCCTTTCTGACTTTGCATACACATTATTGAAAAGTAATAATTGTGACTTCTTTATTTCATCCTGTGACACTGATTTCTGCATAAAACTTAAGGCTCATTCTGTTACATTCTGTGACTTTTGATTCAGTAACCCAGTTGCTGCGCATATCAATTTCTTCATTGTTATAAAGACAATCCCTTGCTTTTGGGCATGTGATTAGTAAGGGGTATTGCAGCATACCTGTGTACAAAAACGTTATTTCTATGGAGTGAATTTTTATGTGTGGCCTTTGAAAGAAGTGGCAAGTTTCTTTTGCTGTCCATTGTATATTCCCAATGCAATTTTACCTAATAACCAACTCTTGTTACAGACAATTTTACCCAATACACAGTGATGGCCTTCCTTACCAAAATGTCTGCTCACAGCAGCAAGTACTCGACAGAAAGCAACACTAGCAAGAACTGCAGGCGTAGTACTAGTTGCAGGAGGTGGATTTTGAACACCACGGCAAAGGCAAGCAAGAAACATGTTCAAGTTAGATTTCTATAACAAAATAAGAAAGCAGAGAAACAATTATCAAGTAAGTCAAAACAAACATGTCTCATATTACCATTCAGTACACCATCATTTTAACATCATCTGTAAATGGATGGATAAGGTCAGTGTATTCCAATTCCCACATAACTGCTGCATATCAATGCAGATATTTACATGGATAAATGACATTTTAATAGGTTAACATGCTTGTAAAGAAATTTGGCCTTAGGCTAAAACAATCTCGGACAGTTTAAGTTGTAAGTATGCATCGTCATTGTATGGAATGTAACATGAGGAAATTGTTGTCCTCTAGAAGTCCAAGCTACAGACCTAATAAAGAAAGTTGTAACAATAACCTGTTTGTGTAGTTACAATTAAAATCATATACCTTTGACAGGATGTCAGAAGCCAACATACAGGACACAAGTTGTTCTTCGTGAGGGAGAAGCAAAGGTTTGGAGCTATAATTCTTGATCAGACACTTGGCTCGGATAGCAGGCATAACATTAACAGCTTTCCGTCCCAGAAACTATGGTTGGGAAAGACAGACCATTGAGAAAATTAAAAACAACACAACGGTCCTTTCTGAATAAACCCACGTTAGGATTTTGAAAACGAAATTCTGATGACTAATTCTGTCACCACTGGCTACTTCTTACATGTAGGTAGTTCCATCAGTGCTCAAACTACATGTATAAATAACACTGAATAAGACTCTAGATTTCTCAGTCATAAGATCAGGATTTCTCAGTCATAAGATCGACATTTCTCAGTCATAAGATCGGGATTTCTCAGTCATAAGATCGGCATTTCTCAGTCATAAGATCGGGATTTCTCAGTCATAAGATCGGCATTTCTCAGTCATAAGATCGGCATTTTCAGTCATAAGATCGGCATTTTCAGTCATAAGATCGGCATTTCTCAGTCATAAGTTCAGCATTTCTCAGTCATAAGATCAGCATTTCTCAGTCATAAGATCAGCATTTCTCAGTCATAAGATCAGCATTTCTCAGTCATAAGATCAGCATTTCTCAGTCATAAGATCAGCATTTCTCAGTCATAAGATTGGCATTTCTCAGTCATAAGATCGGCATTTCTCAGGCATACATGTACTTTACCGCAACATAAAATGCTTTTGCAATTCAACTGAGTTGTTTGGGTTGTGCTTAGCCCATTACTCACAGTCAAAATTGATGCAAACAATGGCTTCGCATTTGTCTGTGATCGTAATTCTTTGATGCGCTGCAGCAATTCACACAAAACTGGTTGCTGTGTTGTAGAATTATCCTCTGACAAAACCACAACATTTGCCACTGCTGGCTGAACTGTTAAGCCTTCTGAAAGCTGTCAAGAAACATATGAAATAGAAAACACTAGAAATTATGAGAATTTGAACACTTAAAATAATTCATCAATTCACTTATTTACTTACACTAAAGAAATAATTTAGATTAGTTTGATTTGTACAAACTAGAGGGTATAAGTTCAATATAACGCTTCTAACAGTCTAAATAAAACAATCTTCAAACTTCACGGGAAACTATTTCAGAATTTAAGAATATTTTGTAGGCGGGTTTGTTGCCAATAAAAAACTTCGCAAGTACTGAAAAGGTTGAACCAATTGGTACATGTATATTTCACCTTGGCTTGCTTGCATGGGGAGGGCTGGTCATCTTTGTCACATGTTAAACTGCACTCACTTGACGCTTGTCTCTTTCTAGCTTGTAGTTTCTGTCTGTTTGAGGCTTCTTCATCTGTGGTCACATTTCCCTGTCTAATCTGTGATTTCTCACTAATCAATGTAATCTCGGATGTCATCTGAGAGAGTGAAGTGCAAGCAACATTGCTAGAAATTAACTCAGGACTACCCATATTTAATGCACACTGTTCAGCTCCAGACACAGCTTCCTCCTTTAAATACTGGGACTGACTAGAATCTTGATCTTTATCCTGCCCAGTTCTCTTCTTTCGTCTCCTAGGTCCACGGTTGAAGATGGCAAAACCAGGATCTTTTCTGGAGGCCATGTCTCCCCAGATACTTCCTATGCTAGGTTTGCTGGATTTGGGCAGTGCAGTCTCTGGGTCTTTCATGTCTACATTTTGAGGCATCTTGCTTTTCTGCTTGCTGCAAATCACATTTATTGAAACAGCTCTCTGTTTTGATACCGGCTGTTTTCTAGAGATAGTACATACATTCTCAACATGTAAAGTACTGGAACTCTGCACAGGAACATTGGTATTTTCTGCAGGTCTGGCTTTCTTCACAGACGACTCACAGGTATTCCCATGTTCCTGTATGACTACTTGTTTCTTTCCACTATCAATCTTACCTCCAACAGCCAGCCCCTTTTCCAAAATACAAAGTTTACATCTACCTGTACCATGATCTTGTACCACTGATGTACTTGGTGAGGTTTCTTCTTTTACAACAAAGGGAAGAGTCTCTTCAGGGAGAATATCTGCTAAACCTTTAGCATCTGCATTGTCTCCTTGGTTGAAGATTGATGTTGGGGTCTGTGACGGCTGGTTCATATGTGAACCTGAAGGATTTGGGTGTGTCTCCCCAAATCCAAATACCATTTCAGAGGCTAAGGAGTGAAGTCTTGGACTAATGATCTGTGGGTTCGGATTCATTCCAATTACAGAAGATGAGAAAGATGCTGCAAGACAACGAGATGCAGGCTGCCTCCTAGTAGTTGGATAGTGCTGAGGTCTAACAGAGAGGGCATCACTAGGAGCTTCAGCATGAAAATTGCATGGAGATGGAATGAGAGGATTCCTCAATGGAGAGATGACAGGACTGTGACTAAGTCTGACAGGGGACGTATTACTAAGTGGAGACAATGTATCAACAATGGAGGCTTCTAAAAGTGGAGAGACAGCAGGTGGTACAGGTGTTGGAAATAATGGTGAGATCATTCTGGCTTGGTTAACACAACTTGATCCTGGTATACTATCTATTAATGAAGAATTCCCAACATCCTCTGCAGATTCAGCATCAATAATTTCCGGAGAAGGTGGCAGAGGTGATAACATTCTCGGTATGCTGATGAATTCTTCAAAGCAGAACGGTGAGGAAGCAAGTGGAGAGAGAGGGGGACTGCGTGTCAGTGATGACAAGGGTGAGAGTGGTCTGGCTGTGTCCTGAAGTGGAAGAGGAGAGACTGGAGTGACATGTCCTGATACAGAACTGATGCTTAGCACTTTATCTGTGGTTGGAGAACTGGCTCTTGAAGACTGTGCCTCCACACAAAGAATTTGATGTTCAGCTACTTGGCTGCTACTTGTTGAAGTCCCTTGATTTAACAATCTTTCCCCATGCAGGCTGCTTAATTGCTGAAAAGCCTCACTATGAGATGAAGAGCCATTTGTTGTTTCCCGATTTTCATTTATATGTCCACCACAACCTACTTCCTTATGTTCCACCATCTTTATTGGACCTTCTTCGTTGTTTGCTGGATCAATGCTGCTACTGGATCCTCTAACATGAAGTTGGGCAGAGTGAACTTCTGCCATTACAGTGTTAACAAAATTTTTCCCGAGATCATCAGACTCAGTGGGCTGATGTTTCACAGCTTTCTTCTGACCACCATCTTGATTACGAGGGTCTTTTCCATACGAGTTGAAATCTCCATGTTGAACAACACAAGGGTTGGTTTCTATTGCTACTGAATGTTTGGAACATCTCGGCCTAGGATCTCCATCCTCATGATATTTCATGACTCCTCTAGAGCTACTATCTTTATTACTGTGTGCTTGATAGTTTGAGCTATCACCATCCACGTTGAGTGACCCCTTTTTCTCTTGGTGTTTGATTGGTTTTGTCTTTGATGTTTCATTAACCATTTTGTCACCATATGATAGCAATTCAGGCTTTTCATCAAGTTTTTCTGTGCTTGATGGTCTGGTGTTAACAGTTTGAGGTTCATCAAGTCCACTGTTTCCATTTTGCCAAGATTCCTGTAGAGCTTCAAAAGAAACTTTCTCAGCAACTTCCTGTGCTTTAGTGGCATGATCCACTGTTGGAGCCTCTGTTTTCTGCAAGTCTCTTTCCCTTGTAGTTGCCTCCGTTTCCCTATCCTTGCCAACTTCAAAGTCTTTAAGGTCTGCCAATTCAATTCCTTCATCTCCTTGCTGTGCTGGCAACACAAGAGAGCCTTTTAATTGCTCTGTACCTGAGATGTTGTCTAGTTGCATTTCTGATGAACCTACTGATCTGGTGACTCCTCTGCCAGAGGCATCTTTAACGAATTGAAAGCCTCCATCATCATTTTGTGATTGCTTTATTAATGTGGTCTTCAATTCTGTCGTGACTTTCTCTGCTGTACCTGAATCATCATCATCCCCCTCATCGGAATTATTCAGTCCTGAATGTATATTCAAAAGTGTACATACAGCCAAATTTTCAATACCTAAATCTTTGGTTTTACTCTGCATGTTTTGCAAATCCTCTCCTTTGGTAGATGATGAATCTTGGTTTGGTGTTTTATTTTGTCTCGGAGTTGTCACAGTTGTCTGATTATCAGGCAAAGTCTCAGGATTTATCTTCATATGTGATTTTTGGGTGGCATTAGCAGATCTTGTCATTCCTTTTGGGGTGATCTCACGCTTGACTGGGCTCTGCATATTACGTGTTTGGGATCTAGTTATTCTTCTTCCTTCAACATCATCGTGTCTACAATCCCCTGATTTCTTCAAACTATGGGTAAGCATCTCAGATAACTTGGCTTCAGGAATGGATTCCAATTGGATGAGTCGCTCAAATTCTTCATTATGGTCTGCAGCAGTTTGCTTACTATCTTCAGTATCAGTTTGTGGAGTTTCATCGGTGATGTTGGCAGTTTGCTCAATAAAAGACAAGGACGGCTGCATTCCTCCTGGAGATTTTTGGCCAAAAATCTCCCCCAGAGAGCCATCAGAATTGTCTCCTGAGCAACGCTTTTCATATGTAGCTGAATTAGATCTCAAGAACCTTTTAGGAACAGCTCTGGGCTGTGATGTTGAAGGCTTGTTCTGAGATGGAGATATGCTGCAGGTGATCTGTCTCTGAGGAGACTCTTTGCTTGGCTCCGGGGATGGTTTAGCATAAGATTTGTTTGAATAACTATCATGACCACAAGTCATTGTTAGTTTACCCATATCACTGGCTTCAATCACACCCTGTTCTGTGAGAATTTTCAGCTGGGATCGTGTCAATCTACGATCAGGAGACAATACAAGCTGATTAGGCTCCTTGATTGTAGCTGATTCTTTTTTGTGAGCAGTTTTTCTGTTTTGCTGCTTATCTTCCGCTATAATTTCCTTTATCTCTGGGCTTGCATCCTGCATGCCTTTTGATCCCATGACGTTGAGCTGTGACTCAATTTGATCAGCAACATCTGAGAAGGCCTCTTCACTGCTCACATCACTGCTATTATCACTTAACATCTGAAAAACAAGAAAATAATGAAAAAGTTTCAAGTGGAAATAATTGTTTAAGCATAAAACTCAAGATAATAAATACACATACATGTATATCATGGATAGACTGTAAGTAGGCTTTGATATTTAAATCTCAAATTTCAGATCTACAAAATATATACACTGGACAAATTTAGCCAACTCTATACCTCTTCTCTTGCAGGAGAACGGGGTTGAGGAGATGGAGGTAACGGAGAAACACACAACGACATATCATTGGACAGCTGATCCAATATCTTGAGACATGCATCTTCCTTCACATGTGGATGTCTGATCTGTTCCTGACATTTGAACTCTGTGTGTAACTTTTGTTTGATTGGAGAGAGAAAATCCTTGGTGGAAGAGAAAGTTTCTTCGACAGGCTCAAAATCTGTGTCTGTAAAGTAAACAATGTTTGTATAAATGTCCTTGATGAGCAACCAGTAAAGAAATGGGAATGGGTCAGAATGCAAGTACAATGTGTGTGCAATTTAGAATAGATTTATAATAATTCCACACTATTTGAATGAATCTGAAAACCCTCAACAGCAAGTTCAGCAACCACACAGCTAAACTAAGAATACTTTCAGTTTTCAGGTCTACTCAACAATGCACTAATATTTTGTTCAAACCATTTAGATCCCCATAAAAACCAAAGTCAAATAACCAACCTTCAGTAGATGTGCTGTCCTGAGTGCAAGCTGAACCAAGAAATGATTTGTGTATCTTGGGGACAGGAATGCCATACTCACAAAGGAGTTGTATCAGCTCAGAAATTTTATTCTATTAAAAGAAACAGCATCACCATTAAATTACAGTGCTGATATTGTGACTAAAGGTGACATGCCTTGAGTAGAATTTCAGAAGGAATGTGTCAGTCATTCCAACTTTCAGTTCTTAATTAAGAGGTTAATGGAGGTGTCATTTCTGAATATGATTGCAGCACTAACATAATCTTCAAAACCTTTCTATCCAATTCTCTTTCTGTCTGGCTAGTAACATTCCTGGTGAAAAAATTTCCTTAGACATGACAATTCTCTACTTTTGTTCATCTAACCACGACAACCAATGGAACTTTTCAGTTTTAAAAGTTCCTACTCAACAGAAGGTTTTACTTCATTCACTTTACATGCAAATTCAAAATCAATCACATTAGTTTGTTTGAATGGCCAATGGTATAATAAAATATTCTTATAAACATAAAGTCTCACCTTTGCTTTTTGATGCTGCCTGGCAAGCTTACCCTCACACTTTTTGGAATTCTGTAATTCCTTCTTGCACATCATAAGATCATCTGACAAGAAAAAATTACCAATAAAAAAATCAGAGTCAAAGCAATTATCTTTGCCAGTTCAGAGTTTTTTTTCATTCAACACATAAAAACAAGAGACACATGATGTATAAAGAAGTGTTCAACCTCACAGAAGGAACTACATGTATGAGGTCAGTCAAATTACCTTTGTTCTTGGCGAGTAATGCACATGCTTTCTTCTCCCTGCACACAAAAGCAACATGCAAAAAGTTAAGTTAGTTGGCCAAGGTATAACAAGTAAAATCTTTTAGAAAAGATCAACTACAGTAGCAGATTTCTAAAGTACACATTTGTCATCTGATATGAAAAGTGCCTAGTTTATAGAGGATTTTTTAATGAGTTTTCAAAGTTTTCTTTGCTTCAATTCACTTAAATGCATCATGTAAACATGCAATTTTTGTAAACCCTATTCAGGAAGTCTACAATCTAAATAACAAATGTGACAAGTAAACAGATGGGGGTTTTCAGTTCTTACGCGATTTGGCTTTTATGAGCTGCTTTCTGTAGCTCTGTTTGCTTTTCTTCAAGGGTTTCTAGTTTCTCCTGCATTTCATAGAATCCATCTTGAAACTGCTTACAAGAAGCCTGCAAAGACAAAACAAACAAGAAATTGCTCATCCTGGTGTGAGTAATGACTGAATTACAAGTGAATTTCAGCAATAAAACCATCAATTACTGTCCTAGGATCTCATTTCCCAGTAGTCATGGAATGCTGTTTTCTGCAATAAGAGTGGTGAAATTCTTCTCATCACAGTACTAGGACTTGGAAGTTATAATTAACACAAGCTGTCCATCCTACACCTTGAAGTCAGATCATTCGGTGACCTTCTCATTCCAAATTCATTTGATGTCTTTGGCTAAAGTGCCACAAGTGATTTTTGAGCATACAGAGGACGAAAAGTGGCCATCTGCTTTTCTGCTATCAGAATGGTAGAAAAGCAGATTTTATGTTCTGGTTACATGTAATTTTGACTTTTCTACTCTTCTGCCACCTCAAAAAGCAGAACGAACATTGTTTGGTTATGCATTTTTCTATTTTTCTGCTTTTATGCTTCAAGAAAAGCAGATTTTACTTTTTCTTCATTGCTGGCGGCCGAAAAGCAGCCATCTGCTTTTCTCCTTTTGAGCAGGCAGAAATTAGGATCAAACGTTTTGACAACCGTAGATTTTACTTTTTTGCTTTTTTTTATAATGGAGGAGCAATTTTACATAGTCAACTGAAAAGTGGCCATCTGCTTCTCTGCCTTCCAAGGGCCGTGAATGGGGTCATGAACCTCAGGTTATGACCATTTCCTTTTGGGAGATTGAAGATGTATAAACCAATAATTACAGTCCACCCTCTCTTTTATGATGAACAATTCACATGTTTTCCTTGACCCAAGCAAGCTTGTGTGCCTACTGGATGATAGTTGCAAAACTATGTTGCCTTTGAGATGCTGTTTTCTCTGCCTCACAGGGACACTGATACGCACTGCCGTATGGGATTGGTCAACAGAAAACAAAGTTAAGTTTTGGTTTCTATATGTCTTCACTCCCCCAGGACAGAAATGGTTGTAACCCACAGGTTCATGACCCTATTCACTGCCTATCGAGGACAGAAAAGCAGATGGCCACTTTTCGGCCACCTATGTAAAATCTGCTTTTCCGGTATCACAAAAGCAGAAAAGTTGTCGTCAAAACGTTCAATCCACTTTCCTGCTTGTTTGACAGGTAAAAAGCAGATGGCCACTTCTCGGCTGCCATCAAAAAGAGGAAAAGTAAAACTACTTTTGTAGTAGCAGAAAAGCAGAAACGTGGAAAAATGCAAAAATGGTCATTCTGCTTTTGACGTAGCAGAAAAGTAGAAAAAGACGTGAAATCTGCTTTTCAACCATTCTGATAGCAGAAAAGCAGATGGCCACCTTTCGTCCTCCATATTGAGGAACCAAACATTTACGTAAAAAGTACTCCTGAACAAGCCAATTGGATGCTTACAAATATATATAAAGCAAACACTACTTGCAATACAAAAATAGTACCACAAATTGATAACATAATCGAATTTACCTCACTTCCTGCTAGTCTGTCACTCTTGTCTTTGAGACTTTCCTGACATTCTTCCAATTCTTTCAGATATTTATTCTTATCCACCTTCCATGGAATAACCTCTTTCAGAGTAGCTGTCAACTGTTCTTCAAGTACTTTGCAATTCCTGAAATCAAACAAAAATACTTAGTTCTTGTGCCAACACCAGAGACTTCTGTTTTTTTCAGCAACAATTTCTTGGAAGGAAGTGGGCCTGCTCGGCTCAGGAAATAGCTTTCTATGTAGTAGTTTTTGTCTGGTTTCTTATTTAACCCTAACTCCCTTGGGTGTATGTAAAATCATATTGAAATTGGAGGATTTGGGACTGTTAGGGTTAAGGTCATCAAATGTATTATACACCCTCAAAAAAAGTGTGTCAACAACACTCTACAATGATTTCCTACAAATTTAATAAATGTCGGTTCCGGGTTTTTTCTACAATTCCTCAGAGAGGGAAATACGTAGTGTGACCATCAACCCGTGATCCTGTAAGAACCTAATTCAAAATCGCAAAAGCAGCTAAAACATTCAATATTCACTGAAGACGATCACAAAGAATGTTCTCGAACCTCAATTTACTCATAAGAAATGTTATGTCTTCTCAGAGCACAAAAGTACCATGTCACCACCCAGACATGATGTGAGCAATCCACTTGGGTGCCATACGACGTAGAGGAATGCTTTAGTTCTTACCGTTTGGTTGATGCTAATTTCAAAGTTACATCATCCAACTTCTTCTGCTGTTGATCAAACTGTGCACTTTGGTCAAGAAAATAAATCTTTTTTGTGTATTTGTTCATAAGCTTAGAATAAATCAAACTACCTCTGCATAACAACACTACAAAGCTTATGACAACAGTGTACAGTTTGTGAAATGCTAACATAGAACACTAACAATTCTACTTGGACAATTTAAGAAACGGAGGGCAAAGCATGGAAATAATTGGACAATGTTAATGCATTATTTACCATGTCAGTATTATCCTGAAACTGAAAAAGTTTGTTAAAAGAAGGGATTTTCAAAAAGAGGATTTAATCAATTAAGCTGATCAAAGGATATCTTGACATTTACTGGTGTACTTCCTGATTAGGATGCTGAAAAAGAACAAATTTAACACATCCAATTAGCATTTACATGGGTCAACACAAACATACATATGCACAGTGACTTGTGGCATATTGTGACAAATTACACATCCAAGTTTCACTTCAGCGCTTCCATTTTTCACCATTTCTTATAAAACTGCAAAGCTCTGGCATACATGCACTCCAGCACAGAAACACTGTGGTGAACCATTTGTGCGTGAGTGCCTTGAAATTTGAAATCCAGTCTGATTAATCCAGTTCTTACTCTGTTGATACAATCTTCTTCTTGAGTGCAGCATACAATGTTTGGTCCCTTTGACATTTCTCCAACTCCTGCAGAAAGGGCAAAAACCAAAACTGGCATTACCCATCCTAGTATTCTCTACTTCTGAGGTTCAGAGGATTTGATATTCCGCACTCGAGTACAGCGCACTGTACTTGAGTTAATAAAGGTTATCCTAATCAATTCACCGTACAAGTGCGTTAACAAAACTACTGATTGTTAAATATCCTTTTTATCCATCA